GGAGTCATCAGCTGGATGTACATGCATCCCAGAGTTAATGATCACTCTGGGATTCGAACCCAGTACCGTCCGCTTCAAACGCCATCGCGTGATCCACTCGGCTACTGAGTCCTGGTAGCCACTTGCTTATGCAATGGGGTGAATTTAAATTAACTTGATATTGTTTTACTTGTAGCTTTCCATTGAGTTTTTAAGACAGAAATTCATCATTTTGTTATTGGCATATGTACATACTGTGCGTGTGCCTCGATATTGCCTTAATTCACAAGCTTTTATAAGCAAAGATGGATAGTGGCTAGCAGTGCACCAATCGAATAAAACCAAATTACAGATTATGTCACTAATTATTACGCGTGTATCCCATAAATTTTATCAATGGATTGCATATTAGTCAAACATTCGTAGATAATAGAAACTTTAGTGTTACCCTACAGAAATGTAATCTTCCTTTTTGTGTTCATAATAATTTTCAAGCATTTTTTTATACTCCGGGATGTTATTAACACTTTATAAGACAACCCATATGAGTGTTATGGTCTTTTAATTAACATTCTCGTTTTATTTTACAAAATATACTTAGAAATGCACTTAGCAATACGAGAACAATGCTACAATGTCATAAAATTTATATTATGGTAGAATATGTTTGTATTCTTTTATTAAAGAGATCGTTTAATTCGAAATCAGTGGTTCTAAAGTATTTACATAATATTTGACCCTGAATCTATTAATAAATTCTCTGTTTTGTAATGTAACATATTCATTTACTTAAATTGAAACCTGAATATCTAACAATGGTAGAAGTAATAAAGTCTATGTATGAGCAGATTTCAATTACATTTCTTATTAACTTTAGGATTACGACTTATACAATGATTTAAAAACAGCACATTTTTCACATATATAAGCTTAATAACAAATTTACATGCACATGCTTTATTGATCGTAACGTTAGTTTCAATGTACTAAGTTGATTTGCAATGGATAATATCATTCAGAAGTAATCGTCTCGCAGTACGAAAGATGGTCAGTGAAATAGAGGTAATATAATTGATCAACGCATTCTCTGGCAAATTAAAAGTGTCATCTTGGTTCATTGTTTTCAGACAAAACATCTGTTATTATTATACTCTAACGTCAAGTTTTCGGAACTAACGAAGTGAACAGTGATAATCCACAAGTATGTCGTAATCACAACAATACTATAGTGTACATATAAAGTATTACTCATATAAAACCTAGTATTCTGAAAATTTCGAATTAGACTATACTTCAATGATTCAATTTTACGAATATGTTAAATATGAAGAAAATGAGACGAGATTTATATTTTCTGGAAAATTTCCTCTGTATGATAATCATCTACTTGTACTTTGACTAATGTTAGCACTGTAGAGTTTAGTAAAATCAATCAAAAATGTATATACAAATTCATAAGGTAAACTTTAAAAACCCATCAAATGTAGCCAAATCAATGTTATTGTTTATTTACAAAAAAGGGCTTCAAAACAAGTAATTTAATGACTGTCCTTTTTACAGAAGTGATGAGCGAAATGTGATTGATTAGCTTTTTAACAATAATGTATAATCGATCATTAATAATAATAATAATATTATTATTATTAATAATAAAATCCTTTTGTCTTACCAGATGTCATCTATTTCATTTATATCTATTTACATCAAACTTGCATCCTAGTGGATTTGTAATATTGTACTAATCGTTTGTGTTACCGTACTTTTTAAAGAGCAAAATTTATTCTCAATAGATTTACATATACGATTACAAAAACTATGTAGTCTTGTAATCAATACGCCTAGTTGTTAACATCTATTTATGATTCATGGGGAAAAGTGTCTTTTATATCCAATTTAAGTTAAATATGTACCAATTACAAGATCCTATTATTTAATAGCCTTCAAACCAATTTTATGAATTTCAAGTGACTATAATATGTTGATTAACTTGAAGTATTATTGATTAACATACAACTGTTTGTGTAGCCGTTAAAATTGTTTCTTCCTTATAGCATATGAGCGTGGAAAAGTGTCACCATAAATAAATGATCTTAATAGTACGTCCATTATTTTAAAAGGATTTTATCATCATATATCTCACAGCAGCCTGTCTTTAGTTTTCGGTGATAATTGAGATTATTTACTAAGCAGATGTTTATTTAGACCTAAATAGGACCCACCATTTTTGTTTGTACATTAGCTAATAATATCGTATGGCTGCTTAAATAAAAGCAGATTGAAAGAGATTTTATTAATGTAATATTCGATCGATTCAACTATACATTCACCTCACTAAATAACATTATAATTTCCAAACTTATAATTTTATAGTCTGATAAAAAACTTATTTGTCGTGTACAGATCTGTATACTTGACTTTGAATTACGCTTTAACTTTGGAGGTCAATGATACTACCCGTTTCACCAAAGTCAAGTAGTTAAAGAAGAATTTAACCATATGATCTTATAGTGCAGTATTATTGATTGAGAAGATAAACAGTACTTGAGGGAATTATTTCAATGTTGTAATCATGAATTTGACTTCATACCTCTAACAAGTGGGGATATATATATAAGCGAAGATGTACAACTAACAGTGATGAATATTCAACAGTTTACACAGAAGAATAAATAACCGTATTCAATTGATATTAGTCTACGATATTATTAGTATGTGAAGAAAAGTAGCGGTAAATAAATATTTAATAATTTTTTTTGTCATTCACAAGAAAGTAATGACAATGTTTATTTTCAATGGCAAACTTTCTTAACATTTTTTAATAAAAGGAATTCTAGTAATCGGAGAAGACAAGTATTTAGATCATGTACTTTAGATCATCTGTCTATTTCAATTCTATGCCTTTAGATAATAAAACAGACTAGGTAAACTAAGGATTTTTGAATTTGATAGATGAAAAGTCAAAGTATTATCACTATAATGAATTATATTCAATAGTATAATGTTCATAAAGGTAAACATAATTTGATCATTTAACATTTGGATATTATTTTGATTTTAATATTATTCATTTTAAACAATTATAATTTTAGATTATCTCTAATATAACTAAGTTAATAGTCCCATACTTTTAGATGAGAATAAATATATTAATTGTGGATAGAACACACACTTCGGAAAGCACCTAACTGCGTCACAAGGTAAGCCTTCACATGGAATCTTCATGGTCGAAGAAGAAGAGGAAGACCAAAGAACACATTACGTCGAGAAATGGAGATGGACATGAGAAAAATGAACAAAAATTGGATAAAACTGGAAAGGAAGGCCCAGGACAGAGTGGGTTGGATAATGCTGGTTAGAGGCCTATGCTCCATTGGGAGTAACAGGTGTAACTAACTAAGTAAATATATTAATTAGAGTAAACTGGTATTTTGTGTTAAGAACTATGTTACAATCAGTAATCTACAACTTTTATTAAAATTAAAAATACATATGTGTTTCTATTTAAATTAAATTATTATTCATATCAGAAGAATTTTTGTGGATATTATAGTAATTTCAGTCGTCCTACGATAGGGCGAAACGGCCGTCCAGTACTTCCAGGTTTTCCATGGTAGTTTAGCTTCCATTGACTAATGATCTCAATTATTGAGATCAAATTATTATTCTTTCATAATTCATTTGAATGGTTCCATAGTTTTACATCTTAATGTGCATTTGTAAAAACAAATCCTGTTTGATAGTTAAATAGTAATTAAGATGAAATTATGGATATTATTGACAATAATGCACCGTATGTACAAAGTTTTGTCATGATTTAGAAATTATGAATAGATTAATGTATTCAACTTAAATCAATATTTGTTCTGATGTTTTAAATACTCTTTATTTATACATTTGGTGCAATATTACTTACTACTTACTTACGCTTGTTATCCCTTGTGGAGGAGCATAGGCCACCTACCAGCACTCTTCATCCAACCCTGTTCTGGACAATACTTTCCAGTTCTCTCCAGTTGCTATTCACGCTTTTCATATCTGCTTCCATTTCCCGACGTAGTGTATTCTTCGGCCTTTCATGTTTCCGTTTCCATTCACGATTCCATGTTAGCGCTTGCCTCGTGATGCAGTTTGATGATTTCTTCAATGTGTGTTTTATCCACATCCAACGTCTTTTCTTAATTTCCTCCCCAGTTGAAAATGTTTGCCCTCTCACACAATGAGCTGTTGCTATTGGCATCCGGCTAACGGACATTGAGTAACTTGCGTAGACAATTGTTCATAAATACTTGGACCTTTATGATGATGGTTGTAGTAATTCTCTGAGTTTCAATTTTGTACAGTAGAACTGTTTTTAGGTTAGTATTAAAACTTCTGACTTTGATGTTGGTTGACAGTTGTTTTGAGTTCCATATGTTCTTCAATTGTAGAAATGTGGTGTATTTGAACCATATCAATATCTTATGTATTCAATAAAATGTTAATAATCACTAAATGGATTTTCTGAATAGATCCAGAACTGTTTCAAATATTAACATAATTGAATATATTTTCGTATACTGCTTTTTTCCTAATTGAAATGACAGCCACTCTATATTGTGATTTGACTCTATTTGAAAATCTGAACTTATATATTCCAATTTAGTATGTCATTTATATTTTACTAATTTGGATATTGAAAGTATTTTAGGTTTATTCTGACTTCATGATACCAGTATTTGTACATTGATGGGTGATTTCAAATTAGAACAGAAATTTTATTACTTAATACCATTTAGTGAATAATTTATGATAAAAATTAATTTTAGATAATCAGGATTAATACTGAAAAGAATCTTTTAAAGTTTTAGGACTTTCCTTCTCTTTAATGTCTATTCTATTCAAGTAGTACTTTTCATTATGAATGTCAAATGGTGTACCAGTTTTATTTGGTCGTAGGTAATCATAATCAGCACGTACTAAATATATGCACATTAAATTACATCTAACCTAATAAGAACAAATCAATATGTCATATTACTTACCTCTGAATTTCTTGCATTAGATTAGTAGTTGTAGAGGATACATGACAATCTTGTGTTTCTTGTGATGTATCTAGAAGTCGATTATGATTAGGCGAAATTCCATTGTTTGTTCTTCCTCCACGAAATCTTAAATTATTATGTGTTGAATGATGATGATTATGATGATGACTTGACGATGTATTTATTGTTCTACCATGATTATTATTACTGTGATTATTAGTAATAACATTATTAGCGGTAGTATTTATTGGTGAAGAACATCTTCTTCGTGGCATAACTAAGATGAATATTGATAATTATAATGATAATTAAAAAATGATTACCATCCAAGCACAAATTATCATCAATAAAATAGCGTATATTATATAGAATTTTTCTAAAATTAAATATAGTCTGGAATGAATGATATCAGAAATAAATGATAAAAAGTAGTTAATGCTTTCTTTCTGTAAATTTTGTATATTCCCATGAATAGTTATGAATAAGCATTACATATACATTAGCATATTCAATGTAATAAAGAAATAACAATATATACAATTTTGTAGGTGGATATACATATAAAATCCGGTCAGTTGAAAAGATTATATATTACTGTCCAGAAATAGTTCATTTCGATATTATTTATTTTTAACAATGCTTAAGAAGAAGAGAAAAAACCCCTAGACATTTTGTAAAATTTCTTATATTATTTGTTGTTATCGTTGTTGTTGTTATTATTATTATTTACTATTTTTTGTTATGATTATCCCCATCTATTTCCGTTCGTTATTTTCTATACTAACTGAGTGAAGCGACTTAATAAAACACCTATCCGTCAATCATTGGATTGTTCATTGCAGAAAAAAACAATTAAAGAGAGGGGGCTCAAATACACACACAGATATATATATATATATACTTGATTTCATGCTTGAAGATGTGATCATTGAAATTTTCTTACCTGGTTGGATTGCGTTTAGAAATGCACATTAAAAACTTATTGTAAGCGCATTATATTTACAAGAAGTTTGATTTTATAAGCCACACCGACGCTTATATTAATTTTCATTGGTTTAAATCGGATTAAATGGTTAGAAAAATACATATCACTCTGTCTATATTCTTCATTACTATTGGTTGTAATATTGTAATTAAATATACAGTAATATTTCAATAACAACAACAAAAAAAAAATCTAATTCAACTGTCAATCATAAATACAACATAGGTCGCCCAACTGATTTTTCTTATAAATTATATAAATCTATAGAGTTATTCATTCATCTAGTAAACATGCACATTAATCAAGCATGAAAACAACCTGTCTGGCATCTAGGCTAAGTATACACTAATATAATCTGTTTAACATTTTTCTATGCACCCAGATATTATTATTATTATCATTATTATTATACATAGATGTATATATGTATACATCTGTGTATGTATTTACCAAAGTATTTTCTGCTTTCAACTAATAGTATACTAAGATCCAAGTGGTATGTATAATCTTAACAGAAATTATTTACATTACTGTAAATTCAACGTAATTCTTTTTTTCCGCCCATAGTAAGTATTTTTTTTTTGAGCAGAATACTTAAAAAAAAAGATCATTAATGAAATTCCATTATACAATTTCAAGTGACAAAATAATGAATAAACATAGATTTACAATTTTATATTTAAGTAAATTATGCATATTATTCATGATCATCAAATGTTATTACATAAATATTATTTAGTTACTTGAAATTAATAAATTCCTAAGATTTGGATCATATTTAGTATCTTAGTAAGTAAATACTGATGTTTATGGTCCAGTGATATTTAAAATTTAAGTATATTTAATTGGTAACAAGAGAAATGAAATATCGTCCTTTTTGTATGTGTGTCGTTAGTGACGAAAGTATGTTTTATTTAACTATTTTATATGTACGATAAATTCAACATCTCCGCTTTATATCAACTGATATATCTATTGATTTGGATTTTAACTCTTTCACATCAATCATTTCAATATTTTATTTAAAATAATTGAGATCATGAGTCAATTGAAGCTAGAATATCATGGAAAAACCGGAAGCACTGCACGGTCATTTCGTCCTATTGTGAGATCCCTCAGCTGTGAGAGTTCGCGTGTGAGACTGATCGATCCTGTGTTCGAATATTGTGAGGTGGGATCGTGTATGTGTATTGATGAGGAGTTCTACAATAGGACAAAACGGCTGTCCAGTGCTTCCAGGTTTCGCATGGTGGTCTAGCTTCAATTGACTCATGATTTCAACTATTGAAATAACTATAATATCTAGAAAAAGCCCTTCTTATATTTAGAATAAAACAAACAAACCAGAAGGCAAATGTTAGTAATATTTAAGTATTTTTTTCTCCAAAGTGACATTATGTGTACTTTTCTGAAGTTATCATACTTTATTTGAAAAACAAAACGATAAACTTGTTATAAATTCTATAATGTATGTGGGGATAAATTCCTGAAATGAAAGAATGTGGCTTTGGAACATGTAGAGCTTATGTAAAGAAACAAATGAGCTTTATTGATAAGCGTTTGTGAAGAAAAATATTGAAAGATATAGAATTGTCATTTACTGTTTACAAGTATGTGACTAGTTGAGTTATTGTTCTATGATAGATTTTATTCCGGTGGATTACGAAGAGTTTTCAATGTTACCAATTAATTTAATCTTAAGTTACCTCAATGATTCCCCACGAAGGACTCAAACACAAGACCTTCAGTCTTGTATGTGAACACTTAACCTCTAGATCACAGCCAGCTTTAATGGTGTTAATGTCTAAATTTAATCATTTCACATGGTTTTATAGTAATAAATTTATTATCATTATTATTAATATAATATACAAGGAAAACGTTGACAATTTGTTGACGGAACTTGGAAATATGAACGATGGTACTTCAGCAGAGCAACTTAGTCATATCTTACCGATATCAAAATTGTACAAATTGTGCGTTTAACCTCATCTAGAATTATTATTCATATATATTACTGAGGAATTTTAAACTAGAACGTAATATTAAAGAGAAAGAATATATTTGTAAAATCTCAGCGAATGAATTTGAAGTAAATCCAACGTTTCGTCTGGCAATCTGGTCCAAGCATTTTCAAGGAAATAGTTATACTATAGTTATGCTGTATTTTCCGGTTGACTTTAAATTACGATGAAAATTAGCTTCATGATTGATTATTTAATAAATAAGTATTGACTAAATAAAACACTTGAGAATTTGTTAACCATTACCACACACATACATGTACCATACCACTATTTTGACCTAAAGTTGAACCCTATATATATTTTTTAATGAACTATACTCTTAACGTTACTATTCACAGGGTAATTTTAATAGTCATTTATTGAATGAAAACAATATTAAACTAATATATCATAATAAATTAAATAAATTCACTAATTCCTATTTTTCGTTTATTTATAATATTGTTTCTACTCATATATTACTTTACCATTACTATTACTATCACCATTATTATTATTATTATTATTATTACCAATATATTAATCTGTAAAAGTCCAATAATATTTTCTAAGCATTTATAATATTATTTTAATTTATATGGAATTATAAATTATTTATTCATTATTGTTATTACAATATACATTAATATAAAAATTAATTGAACTAAAGAAATAGTTGAACACGTATCGACATGTTATAAGATATTGGAAAAAAATCGTAATAATTTAATAGAATATAATTTAATGAATAAATGAACTGTGTTCTCTGTGTAGACTATTTCTGATGTGAATGAAGCTATGAATCAGTAGTAGTAGTAGTAGTAGTAGTAGTAGTAGTAGTAGTAGTAGTAGTAGTAGTAGTAGTCAAGATTTGTATCCACAACGGTTGAAGTAGTTTGACAGTGTATCTGATCTAACATAAAAAGGGATGTTATTTTCACTTCATAGTCTTATGTTTTCTTATTGAATTGAATACTGTTTTTTTATGATGTTCTAAAAAAATCCAGTGTTTATTTTTCAGAATCTATAAATAATCATTTAGATAACTTGGATAAACAACTTGTTTGAGAAAGGGTTTTATTTACGAAACAGTTGTCAATAAAAGGAACATGCAGAATTTTTTTTTAGAAATTTATGACACTATAGTTCCGTTTTGAATTTGTAACTCGTAACACTACATAACAACTGATCAACATATGACAAAAACCAGGATATTCACATGTCGTGTGAACTACAGTGATTTTAGACTACTTTGTACGAAGATGACATTCTACACTCTAACACTTGCAGTCAATTCATTTTATAAACCAATCATCCAGTTCTGACAATAATTTTGGCTTCTCATTAGGATTTCGGAGAGATTCATTCAAGAGCTAGTTACTAATATATACAAGATCATTATTTAAATGGCTATTATTCAGAAATTTGTTCTCATGGATTATGTGAAAATCGAGACCCATTAAAAATCAATAAAATCAGGGGCCAACAGTTTGTCTAAAACTCTACATGTTACTGAACTTAAGACCTAAAAGTTTTATAGTTAGTGTGATATAAATCAGTTAATTAGTTCTAATGTCTACTGGTCCCTTATTTATAAATTCAGACAATTTATGTTTATAAATATCGTACAGATCTTGAAAAATTATCTACTTTAGTCGATAAATGGTTTTCGTTTTCTCTGTTAAAAATAATTATGTTACGTTACTTATTTTGAATTCATGGACAGAAAAAAAGGTAACATATGTAGAAATCATAATTAAGTAAACTTTGATTGTAGTTTAACATAGATAAACTAATTTATGAATGTCATTCGGCGGTCTATGCTCGATTGGGGATGACAGGCGTAAGTAAATTCCAGAAGTTTATTGTCATACAAAAAATGAATTTTTCAGTTTTTTGAAAACACACCTGTTGATGATCGCTTAAATAATATATAAAGGAAACTTATGCCTCTTATCTATCATTTAAATATCCATATTGTTTATGTTTATTAAGGATTAAGATTAAGTTTAAATTAGTCACTGAAATTCTGGTAAAAATACTTGAATAAAGTAATTCAAATTGAACGAAAGTAACTAATTGAGCCATTAAACAATGTACCGCTCACTGAATAGAATGTTCCTATTATGAATGTCATTTACTATAGTTGCACAGTCGTATTTATAGGTATTTTACACATAATAGTCTATAATAAAATAGAAAATTATTGTGTTATCGACAGAGATGACAAAAGTTGATTGAACATTCCAAATATTGAACTAAGTAACGTAATAATAACAAGAAT